AATAGGATTTTCGTCACTGTGAGGCACAGGTCTCATCGCAGATGGTATGTTTGGGTAGTTAATAACCGATTTTTTTTTCTTGGACATACCTGTGGCTTGTCCAACACAAGGTACCATGCAACAGTAACAATCATTAATATGATTTGTAGGCTCTCTCCAAACCATTGGGACAGCAAAGCGCATAGACCGTTTTTTGCCATTTAACCAGCTCCTCAGACTTGAAGCACATGTATTACAGCAGATGTGGGGTGCTCACTGTTTGTCTTGATCACCTAGTTTACAACCGAAATAAAGCTGATATGCCTTTGTTATTAGTGGAGTAATAGACCGTCTCTGAGACGCAAAAGTCACATCACCACACACGTAACAAAACTGATCTGGATTGTTTACACACTTTCGAGACATCTTGCATGAACGCTGTCAGCCAACTGAGGAAAAAATGGCTAATATAAAACAATATAATGTACACGTATGTATAACGTAACACAATCATGCCGATTACATCATCTTTCCTTGCCGAATATAAAAATGTAGCACGTGCATTCTTGTGAATTACAGTATATTAACACTGTCACAGCAGGAACACATATAATTACCGTATCTCTAAAACTTAAACTAATATTGAAAAAATAAGTTTCATTCCGGTTTTAGCACATTAAAAATAGTAATATTTTGTTGATGTTATTTAGGATATTTTTTGGCTGTTGATCAGTGTTATTAATTTTGATCCGAAATTTCCTACCTTCAAGGAAGGATTTCAAAATCTTTAGGAGCCAAAATGGAAAGCTTTTTTAAATTAGTTTATAGAGAAGGCCCTTGTATCACACCTTGTCAAATGCCTTCGAGACATCCAGAAGCAAGATGCCAGTACTTTCGTTAAAAGTGAAGCCCCTGGTTACTCGCTCCACAAGCCTAACCGCCTGTAACTCCGTACTATGCTCAGACCGAAATCCAAATTGCACGTCAGGAATCACATGGTGATCTAACGAGAAATTCGCAAGGTGACGTAGAATCACCTTTTCAGCGAGCTTAGACGGAGCAGACAGTAGCCTGATGGGACGATAGTCCTGGGGAAATATCGAACCCACCTTCTTTGGAATCATTATAACTTCCGCACTCTTCCACGCCGATGGAAAGTACTAGGTCCTTAGCATGGCATTGATAATAGCCACGCGATAAGTCAAGGACTTCCGTGGAAGTTGCTTTACACACGCTTTACACACATTCAGGTCTTTAATATGACCTTGAAGCTCTGCTGGCGTGCAATGCGGGATCTCGGGAGAAGCCGCTGATGTGCTGTGCAACTCTTCAGCTGAAGAATCTTCCGAAAAAGAATCTTCTGAGGAAGAATCACTAATGGCGGCGCCGGGATCACTGACGCCATTGGTCCTAAAATATCTCCAGACGGATCTTACAATTCGCATTGATTATTGTCATCAAGTATGTCAGAGCTTTCGGCGAGAGCAGCTTCAACGCCTTGTTGGTGATTTGATCCCCCCAGGTGCTTTACGCACCTTGAGGTCTTTAATATGACTTAGGAGCTCCGCTGGTGTGCAATGTGGAAACTCGGAGGGTTCCGCTAATGTGCTATGTGGAGCCTCAGACGAATCTTCTGGAGAAGAGTTATCTGAAGAGGATTCAGTGCCTCCGCTAACGCCGTTGGCCCTAAAATATCTCCTGACGGATCTTACAATTTGTTGCTGCTCGTCGAGATCATTATCAAGATCATAGTTGGGAGAGAACTGTCGTTCCATAGCATCAGCGAAAACCTCGACCTTTTCCTGAAGACTATGCCCCCAGGACCGTGGATGTGCTTGAGTTGTTCTCGCTTTCCGTTTCTGAGCGACTTCGCCACTTTCCAGAGAGGAGTACTTGAGTCAAGCATCCCCGCCAGAAAATCGTTGCTCATTGCGGAATTCATGGAGAGCGTTTCGTACATCATGAACAAGATTCGTCGCTCTGCGAATGTCATCAGCTTGAGTGCCTGACGATAAAGTCACTCTAAAGGAGGCAGAAAAATTGTCTAAATACAAGAACCTACCGATTGAGATCTAGAGCATGTGTAACGTTACGTTGAAGCAAAGATAGTTCCGGTAATAAATGGTACACTCGGAACCAAAAAGAAGACGTATACATATTTAGAAGAGATTCCTGGATACCCTAGCATTTATCAAGTCCAAACGGTGGCACTGTTAGGATCGGTATACATCCTCAGGAAGATCATAACGTGAGAACCTCTCAAAACACCGACACCCCGTCCTGAAACCAAATAGAATCATAGCTTTGCCTACAATGCTGTCAAAGGTTATAAAGATTTCTGGAGGAAAGTCAAAAATAAACAAGTCTTAAAGGCTACGCAAGGCAATGACGTGGTCATATTTTCCCTCAAAGATAAATTTTGCAACTTTCCTATCAGTCACATGAGTCAAGACCGTCAGTGGAATAAGCCATTTCCTCATTAAGGGGTCCTCAAATGTAGGAGCGATTCTGCTTTCGATTCTAACACGAAATATCTGTATTGTTAATATAAAATACAATTACTGGTCTTAGATTTAGACTGATCGATAACCCCTGCCTACCTCAGGAAAGAACATTCGTCATTCAGCACCACGTGTACACCCGTCACCGAGCATGCGGTGATAAAAAGCAATCAATTAAAAACAATACAGTAATTTGGGGTGCTTTTTCATAGTGACCCTGCGCGTATTCTGACTGGTCGAGTGGCGTTTTTAGTGGTTTTCCGTGTCAGGCAGGCTAGAAATCATCTCTATGTTGGAACAATCGGTCATGTACTCTCCTCATACAGCGGCGTGCTACATTTCATGATACTAATGAGATACTGCATACTGCAATCAACAGCACAAGTGCCATATATGACCAGAATTGATATAGGTAAATAGCAACTGCTTGTTGGAACTCTAGATGGAAGATCATCATGTTAGATTTCACAAAAAAATGTTAAAACAACTTTACTAAGTGACATATAAATCCGAACACCCAGTTTAAATGGTTTTATTTTAATAAAATTTTGTATAAGTACTTAATGAAGCATAATAAGTAAATGATAAAAATTTCAAAATGATTGCACTGCTTTAAAGCCCTTTGACCTTTAATAATGTGTGGATGCACCCTGATGTGCTACGCATTCTTCAACGCGCCTAGGCATGCTTCTGATCAGGTGGTCAATGTCCTCCTGTGGTATCTCATTTCAGGCAACCACCAACTCCTCTCGAAGTGCTTCTAGAGTCTGAGGAGGACGTTGCAAATTGAGCAATCTCCTACCCATCATATCCCACACGTGCTCAATTGAGGATAAGTCGGGATATCTTGGTGGCCATGGTAACAATGTGACATCATTATGTTGAAAGAAGTCTATTGTGACTCTTGCAACATGTGGTCGGGCATTATCTTGTTGGAAAAATGGATCTGCCAGGGTGTCAAGATAGGGTAAAACATGGGGTTCTAGAACTTCGTGGATATAACGCTGCGCGTTCATGTTACCTCTGATGAAGATTAAAGGTGACCTGGAACCATAAGCTATAGCATCCCAAACCATAACTCCAACAGTGTGATGAACATATCTTTCAACAAAAAACTGTGGATTCCTCCTTTCACCACGTCGCCTTCTAACCCTGGCATGACCATCGTGCATGCCTAAACAAAATCGAGACTCGTCACTAAAGACAATACTGTTCCATTCCTGATCCCAGAGTGACCGTTCTCTGCACCACTCAAGGCGATTACGTCGGTGTTCTCGAGTTAAAGGGAGGACCCAGTGTGGCCGGTATGAAAACCAGCCAAAACTTCTCATTCGTCGGTAAACACTTCGCATGCCAATAGGTCTTCCGTGTTCTGCAAACCATTCATTTGCAATGGACCTGGTAGTGGAGAAACGGTCCGTTAAGGCCAATAATCTTAGGCGGCGATCTTCACGGTCTGTTGTTCTACGGCGGCGTCCAGTGCCCCTTGCTCTTTGCGTACGGCCTTCTCGAAGCCATGCCTGACAACAGCTAACCACAGTGTCTACACTTCTTTGCACTCTAACTGCAATTGCCCGAAAAGAAAGTCCAGCTTCCCGAAGTCCCACTATACGGCCCCTATCAAACTCACTAAGTTGACGAAATCGTACAGGTCTCCGTACTCTAGGCATCGTAACCGATCGTAAAGGATGTCAAGAACCAAAATCCGCCAACGTTGATTCTTTACTGCGGCTGAAATATTCATTTTTAGAGCGTTAGTGAATTAAAAAAAAGCAGTATAAAAAACGGAATGTCCAACTGATAAGGCTGAAAATTTTTTCACTTGTTATTTACAGTAAGATAAATACATTCACCAACTTTTATTAAAATAAAACCATTTAAATTGGGTGTTCGGATTTATATGTCACTTAGTATATATTCCTGCAGCAATTTTTAGTGTCGCACTATTAAAAATCGTATTAACAAAATTTCTTTGGGATCATCATAGCAACCGCGGTGTTCCGGCATTTAGACTTCTGCCTGCTTCGATATAAAAAAAACTATGATAAATTGACAAATGGTCATTTTTTGTTATCGTATCATGGCTGACTCAGGAATTCTTTTTAAACCAAACTCTGAAGTAAGTCAGATATTCACTGATTTGATAACATTATTAACTTGCAAATGGAACGTAGCTTTTGTCATCTTTGGTTTTGAGCCGTTTTTCAATAATCCCGGTTTATATAATAAAGAATCGTTTTGTTTCAAAAGAATTTAGATTTTTTCATTTATCACTTAAAATACTTGTAATAAATGACACTTCTGTTCTACGTTTGTTCGTTCTTCTACCCGAAACGTGCTGATGGTTGCCACCAGACATGACGCAGCTGTACGTGGTCTTGCATTATTATATAATAGACAATATCAGCAATGTCTAGCGGTCATAGTCATTACTCGACTGTCAACCTCCAGCTGTTTATATATAGGCTCATATGTGAGTTATGTCAGAAGATCGAAAAACCTCCATACTTCTGTTTCTGAATGCCTGATCGCTCTTCTAAGTTTGGTAAATCTAACAGAAGTATCAATGCTAATATGGGGTTCTGCAGTACTTCTATCAAAGACCAACGTATGTCCTAAATGTTTTGTCGGATTTTTTTTGATTGAAAAAATTCATTACAGAAGAGATAAGAGAAATTTACTTTACGTAGGCATACATAGCTTGTTTGATTTGGTTTGAAAAAAAAACGCAATACAGTAATCACTTTGTAAATGAAATAAATTAATATCAAATGTATAATCAGAATAACAATAAATTATACGTGAAAACTCTCACAGTCTGTGTGACATATCTTAACGATCATAACTGAATAACTGTTTTTATTTATTACACTTGAAGTAAAACTGACCACAAAACCAATCTAAATCAAAACAGTCACGACTAGAAAACAAATATCGAAATGTAGTAAATGCACGATGACATCTCATGTCAAATTCTATTAGGTCGTTTGGGATGTAGCTTGTGAAATATTCATTTCAAAGCTATTTCCCGGGATAAAAAGTAGCTCATGTGCTATTCCAGATTATATTCTATCCCTGTACCAAATTTGATCCAGATATGCTCAGCCATTTTGGCGTGATTGAGCAACGAACATCCACACTTTAGTATTTATAATACTAAATAGGGATTGTAAACCTTGTTTAAGACCAAGGATTGATAACCTTGATCGAATGTGTGTTCAGGTATTATCGTTAATATATGATTAAGCGATTTCGACCCTGAAAGTTGACTAACGTTTCTACTGCTTACATATATAGGCTAAAATTAAATCATACTATCGGTGTCAGTGTATAGCAATAATATCAACGTAACTAAAGCCAAGCGATTGGGCATTCCAAATCAAATATGTATCAGGTCTATTGTTGTTCTGTGAATAGTTGATTCCGGTATAGATTACTAACGTTTCTACTACTTACTCACATGACCGAAGATTAAATCATACTATCGGTGTCAGTGTATAGCAATAATATCAACCTAGCTGAAGCCAAGCGATTGGGCATTCTAGATCAAATATGTATCAGGTCTATTGTTGTTCTGTGATTAATTGATTCCGGTCTAGATTACTAACGTTTCTACTACTTACTGACATGACCGAAGATTAAATCATACTATCGGTGTCAGTGTATAGCAATAATATCAACCTAGCTGAAGCCAAGCGATTGGACATTCCAGATCAAATATGTTTCAGGTCTATTGTTGTTCTGTGTTTAATTGATTCCGGTCTAGATTACTAACGTTTCTACTACTTACTCACATGACCGAAGATTAAATCATACTATCGGTGTCAGTGTATAGCAATAATATCAACCTAGCTGAAGCCAAGCGATTGGGCATTCTAGATCAAATATGTATCAGGTCTATTGTTGTTCTGTGATTAATTGATTCCGGTCTAGATTACTAACGTTTCTACTACTTACTGACATGACCGAAGATTAAATCATACTATCGGTGTCAGTGTATAGCAATAATATCAACCTAGCTGAAGCCAAGCGATTGGGCATTCTGGATCAAATATGTATTAGGTCTAATGTTGTTCTGTGATTAATTGATTCCGTTCTGGATTACGAACGTTTCTACTACTTACTCACATGGCCGAAGATTAAATCATACTATCGGTGTCAGTGTATAGCAATAATATCAACCTAGCTGAAGCCAAGCGATTGGACATTCCAGATCAAATATGTTTCAGGTCTATTGTTGTTCTGTGTTTAATTGATTCCGGTCTAGATTACTAACGTTTCTACTACTTACTCACATGGCCGAAGATTGAATAATACTATCGGTGTCAGTGTATATCAATAACATAAACCTAGCTGAAGCCAAGCGATTGGACATTCCAGATCAAATATGTATGAGGTCTATTGTTGTTCTGTGATTAATTGATTTGAGTCTAGTTTCCTAACGTTTCTACTACTTACTCACATGGCCGAAGATTAAATCGTACTATCGGTGTCAGTGTATATAAAAAATATCAACCGAGCTGAAGACGAACGATTGGTCATTCAAACATGAATCGTACTATCATTATCACTGTATATCAAGAAAGCTGAGTTTGTTAAAGACGAGCGATTGGTCCTCCCCGAATGTATGTCAGATTTAATGTACCGTCTCCCACAATTAAGCGGGGATCCCGCCTTCTTGTGGGAGCAGGTCAACCGTGGTGGCGGGAGGCAACAAGTGCCGCGCGCGTTTCAAGAAAGGCCGATGCCGGCCGCCCTATCGTCATCCCTTCACTAGTGGGGTTGCGCAATCGCGCCCGACTGATATCAGCGTGAGTTTGGTCGCCTACACTCTCAGCTCCGCCGAAGACGACGCGGGGCGCGCGCCCTTGTTGCGGGGCCCCGCAGCTCGCACTGCGGCCCTACAAGGACCAACATCGCTCCTGGCCAACGCTCAACACGCTCTAACTGGGAACAACATCAACGGCAAGACATCTTCAATTCCGGCGGCTTGAGGTAAGTTCTTGATACTTGCATGTTGTTTTAAACAACTTTTTTAGTGCAGTTCAAATTTTTCCATCGCTTAAACCTTGACATCTCAAGCGGTAAATATTTGTAATAGTTCTTGAGTAAGGAACTGTGCTTTAATGTGTTTTGCGCCACTTCAAAACAATTTAAAATAAATGAGTGGTTTTTCAGAAGATGAAGGAATGACTTCCAAAATTATTGCAAAGTTATTTTTGTTCTATAACAATTTTCAAAAAAAAAATGTTTCAAATTTACATTACGAGCTTTTATAAGTCAAAATCACATGTTGGGGTTTTTAATCTATAAGAACTGCGAAAGACTGTTTTTAATAATGAAAAATGTATAACAAAATGAGTTACCGTTGTTAGCATATTGTTTTTCACACATCCCGTGTAGTTTTCAAGTTTTTACATTGCTTAAATCTTAATATATCAATCAGCAAGTATTTGTGATATTTTTTTCGTAAGCAACTGTGCATGCCATTTTAATGTGTTTTGCGCCACTCCAAAGCAACTTCAACAATTTTTTTATATGGTGTTTCTAAAGCTCAAAGAATGACTCACAAAATTATTATAGAGTTATAACAATTTTCAAAAAGAAAAATGTTTCAAAGATATATTACGAACTTTTATAAGTCTAAATCATATTTTGAGCTTTTTAATTTACAAGTACTATTAGAATGCAAAATGTATAATAAAATGAGTGTCCGTTGTTAGAATATTGTTTTTCACAGATCCCGAGTATTTTTCAAGTTTTACATTGGTTAAACCTAGATATCTCAAGGACCTGTGTTTCAATGTGTTTTACGCCACTTCAAAAAAATGTATGTGTGGTGTTTCTTAAGCTCAGAAAATGACTTCCAGAACTATTGCCAAGCTATTTTTGTCCTATGACAAAAAAATGTTAACCTTTTTAGTTTAAAAGAAATGTTCAAAACAGTTCTTGCTAATGCAAGCTTTTTGTCTTGTATGCCTCAAGTGAAACGATTTTCGAAAAGGGTCAAAGGAAAAAGGAATTAGATTTAGATTTTAGATTTAGAATAAATTGTACAAGCCTGAAACAGCAAACAACCTGTAGATGTATTACGATCTTGATTCTTGTTTAAACAAAATTACGTATTTAAGTTATTATAGCACTACAACCTAGTTCTGCAAAGCCCTTATAAACAGCTTTTTAAGCTTTTTTTATGTCCTCAAAGGATCTAAGAACTATCTGGTCATAATTCATTCACAAATATAAGAAAATTTGATTCTTGCTTAATATTTGATAAGCCTCATAAGTTGACGGTCTTTTTGGAATCAAGGCTTCTTTTATCAACTCAAAGTAATTTTTAATTTTCATATGGGCCACTTTCATAATCCAGATCGCGTATTTAACGATTCAAAATTGTTCCCAGTCTCTATTTAAATCAACTTCCTACCTGCGACCTAATTACTGTTTAATTTACTTCCCAGAGAGAGAAATAATATTCCTTAATTACTATTTCTGGTAATCTGCGGTCTGTGCGAGTTCCTGGTTTAACCAGAGGACATTCATAATCCTAGCTTCTGGTATCTGACTTTGTGGTCTGCTGAAGGTAAACGTAATACTTGTCCTTGTATAACCCATTTTAATCGTTAATCAAACGATTTTTCGCACCTGTTGATGTGTCTATTAGGTGCTCACATTTTCAGGAAACCATTTGTGCATGTATATGTCTAAGATTTATGAGAATGGACTTTTATTTTGGAAAGGAGTAAATGCATACTTTGCATTATGCTTCAGGAGTTTCGTATCTACAATTTTGTAAAAATAGAGATATCATTACCGCGCCAAAATAGAGTGGAGTACGGTTAACTATATTTCATTTCACATAGATTATAAATATCATTGTTCGACACCAAGTCCTCAACCTAAGAAGAACTTAAGTTATGCCGATCTTAATACGTATATTTAAAAAACTACTGGGTATAGTAATAACGATTTGTAGAACGCGAACCTTTTAATACCGAAATTATTTTTACTTTATTAACACTGACCGATTGCCCGGATTGATTTATCCGTCAGCAATCGCAATTCTAAAATTGAATTTAGAACAAACATGTTACGTATTATTTATGGTTTAATATACATTGCTAGAGCAAACAGAGCGAATCAATTATAATCAGATCATCAAAAATTTAGGCAGTTATGTATTTGCTACTTTTTAACTAATTGGACAAGAAAATTTCTGATCGGGATCGCTTACTAAGGAATGTTTTCATAGATATTATGTTAATATTATAGCCCTTATCGTGCTATCTGAAACTTATACTAAGTGACATATAAATCCGAACACCCAGTTTAGATGGTTTTATTTTAATAAAATTTTGTATAAGTACTTAATGAAGCATAATAAGTAAATGATAAAAATTTCAAAATGATTGCACTGCTTTAAAGCCCTTTGACCTTTAATAATGTGTGGATGCATCCTGATGTGCTACGCATTCTCCAACGCGCCTAGGCATGCTTCTGATCAGGTGGTCAATGTCCTCCTGTGGTATCTCATTCCAGGCAACCACCAACTCCTCTCGAAGTGCTTCTAGAGTCTGAGGAGGACGTTGCAAATTGAGCAATCTCCTACCCATCATATGCCACACGTGCTCAATTGGGAATAAGTCGGGAGATCTTGGTGGCCATGGTAACAATGTGACATCATTATGTTGAAAGAAGTCTATTGTGACTCTTGCAACATGTGGTCGGGCATTAGCTTGTTGGAAAGTTGGATCTGCCAGGGTGTCAAGAAGGTGACCTGGAACCATAAGCTATAGCACCCCAAACCATAACTCCAACAGTGTGATGAACATGTCTTTCAACAAAAAACTGTGGATTCCTCTTTTCACCACGTCGCCTTCTAACCCTGGCACAATCATCGTGCGTACCTAAACAAAATCGAGACTCGTCACTAAAGACAATACTGTTCCATTCCTGATCCCAGAGTGACCGTTGTCTCTCAAGGCGATTACGTCGGTGTTCTCGAGTTAAAGGGAGGACCCAGTGTGGCCGGTATGAAAACAAACCAAAACTTCTCATTCGTCGGTAAACACTTCGCATGCCAATAGGTCTTCCGTGTTCTGCAAACAATTCATTTGCAATGGACCTGGTAGTGGAGAAACGGTCCCTTAAGGCCAATAATCTTAGTCGGCGATCTTCACGGTCTGTTGTTCTACGGCGGCGTCCAGTACCCGTTGCTCTATGCGTACGGCCTTCTCGAAGCCATGCCTGACAACACCTAACCACAGTGTCTACACTTCTTTGCACTCTAACTGCAATTGCCCGAAAAGAAAGTCCAGCTTCCCGAAGTCCCACTATACGGCCCCTATCAAACTCACTAAGTTGACGAAATCGTACAGGTCTCCATACTCTAGGCATCTTAACCGATCGTAAAGGATGTCAAGAACCAAAATCCGCCAACGTTGATTCTTTACTGCGGCTGAAATATTCATTTTTAGAGCGTTAGTGAATTAAAAAAAAGCAGTATAAAAACCGGAATGTCCAACTAAAAATTTTTTCACTTATTATTTACAGTAAGATAAATACATTCACCAACTTTTATTAAAATAAAACCATTTAAACTGATTGTTCGGATTTATATGTCACTTAGTATATCTTGTGGTGTTCATGCTGTTATAGCTTTCTGGCGGCTAGTGTAACTTTTAATCTGTAATTTGAAAAAATGGTACGAAAGACAGATACCTCATCCGTTAAATCCCATAAATATTTGCAGAATTTTTGTAAAGTTGCTTCTGAAATAGCTTTGTCGATTCTTCCGTAGGCCTTCATTGCCTTCAAAAAAACATAAATACTGATTAGGTGCTTTTACCGCTAAAGTGCATTGCAACCACGGTTTCACGTATGTTGTTACGACGAACCTATCCTTGAGCAAAGTTTCTTGTAAATCTCGGAAACTTCATTTACAACTGTTTTGACATTGTCCAAGCAAAATTAGATGGTATGCGTTTGAAAAAAGAACTTTCATTTCCAAACAAATTATTTTACACTCTTCTATGGAGCTTATCTAATTGATCAGAGAACTCGTCAATCTAACAATTAAATCGTAATTCGAATCTTACTCCAAAATACGACCCTGTCGACTGTAATCAAAACATGATAAAGCCCGTTTTACGTGCAATATAATTTCGTCGGTATTTCTTAATATTATTAAATCGTAATGGGTAGCGCTTAGTGTTATGGGTATAATGGAGGCATGATGGCTCATAATACCATAAACTTTTATATGGCAGAGTACATTTTCGCCTTAAATAGCTCTATGGCGGCTCCCGGTCACGTTTATGTCTGATCAACAATCAATTCTGGGGCTGTATTTAAGGTGTTGCGAGAGTTGCTCCTTAGGCCGAGGTTATACTTCGAGGTGGCAGTCGTCGGATGATGGGTGATCCGCGATTGGCGGTGCCGCTTGCGTCTGCCTTGCGTTTTATTAATAATAATAATAATGTTTATTGTCACAAAATAATAATAATAATAATATTTATTCACTCAATGTACAAAGATAACAAACAGTATGAGTAAATAAATATAAAATCAAAACAGGCCCAATAGAAGGCATCGCCTGTACATGGACCAATAATTTAAGTTGAAACTGTAGAATGCAAATGACAAAAAAGGCCAAAAATTAGCTACAGTAGATTATGTATTTAGTTGATGTTCGTATTTATGAGTTTATGAATTTCAGTCCTAGATATAGAATGTAGCCACTTTTTTAAATTTCTTTTGAAACAATTTCCGAAACGTAAATATTTTAAGCCTTTAGGTATAATTTCATAAAATTTAGGCGCTAAATAGAGATATGATCGCTGCATTATACATATAGATTTATGCGGTTGAGGAACTACTGTGCTACGAATTTTGTACCTGGTATAATGATTATGTTTAATTTTTTGGTCGGTGTTTACAAATTTATGGTAGTCAGTGATACTGTGTAAGAAATAAAGCTGTCTCATATCATACA